AGTGCAACCACTTCAGGACAGAGGGATACATGTGCTCCTTTTGCCTATGGGAGTGGTGCGGTTACTTCTGAATAACCTCTGGGGGAGTTCTTCTTACCCCAGTTTGCTTTTGCCAATGCAAGCACAAGCCTAGACCAGTGGTTGGATTTCGGCTTCCATGCCCCAAGCACAAAGCTTCTGCTACGCCCTGTGTCTGCCCAGGGAGCACAATTATCCCCACCTCCACCCCATACAGATGCCAATTCCCCCCCCCCCCCGGGCGCCTTTAATCCCCAAATCTTCAGAATATTCTTTTCAAATCCTCTTCAGCTGGATTTGCAGCGGCTGCTTTGCTGGGTGTCTTGAGGCTCCCCTCCCCCAAGCCAGCTGCAGCACCTCTCACCCAAAATACTACTCACACAGGTAGAAAAGCACACGCGTACATACCACCAGCACGTGCACGAACACACACACAACTTGACAGCTCTTCATGGGAGAGTCTACATGCCCACACCACGGATAGCTTCTGCTGGTGGTCTGCATGTATAAACAGCGCTCCATAGGAGGTTGGCGAACTGACACATGGGGATTTAAGAGGTAAGATTCTGGAGCATATTTTGCAGGGCTGAGCCATCAGCCAATCTTCCCGGTCTCGTTAAATCTCTGTCTCACAAAAGGAAAAAAATATAAACCAGCAGAAATCGCTTTAAATCTCCCCCTCCCAACCTTTGATCAGCAATCTGCTTCCCATTCAGAGATGTACTCAAGGGACTCACCAGGGGCACGGAATAATTCCTACAAGCAACGGACTACTAGTGGCTTGGAAAGGGAAACCCGGGGCAGCGCAGGGGGGAGCGGCATCCAGGTACTTGCGATTTCAGAGTGGAATGAAGAGCAGTGGGGAGCCCCAAAGAAAAGGGGGGCTGTGGAGGGAGCCGGACCCTTCTCTTCCCCTGTGCTCAGTACAGCAGTGACATCAGGGTAGGGCCATGGGGCAAATCTAGAGGAGCCCTCTGTGAAGCATGAGCAGAAGGGCCCCAAATATATTAGGGCTGGATGGCTGCATAGAGCATAAGAGAAAGCAGGTGCCTTACCCTCTAAAGTGGGGACCCCATTAGAGCATCAAGCCCATGTTCAATGACCTGATTGCACCACTGGATGAAAGGGCAGATCGGCAGACCCTAGGGTCTTCTCCTCGTGGCGTGGAGCCAGGGTGGGGTCAGTTATAGGCAACAGGGCTGAGCTTCTGGCTCAGGAAGGGCAGTTAGTCCTGCTGGGACGGGCTGAGGGAGACTGGAAAAGTTCAGGGAGTCGCACTGAATGCAATTATTGTGACGCAGGCAGGGGCGGCGGGGGGGGAACCACCACCCCAGCCGCCTGTTGCACACGCTTCCAAGAGATAATTGGGAACAGATGCTTGCAGGAAAGGCGTGTGTGAAGGGAAAGGATGGGGGGGCACAGCCCAACAGCATCTCAGTTTGGTGCTGCAGAAGGATACCCCACCCCGGGACTGGGAAGGAGGTCAGCAGAGGGGCAGCCTCAATTTTGCCCAGCTAAATGGAGAGGGCTGGAAACAGTCGTGTCACATGGGGGGAAGTGGAGGCAGGGCGAGACAGAAGGACAGAGGTGGAGGCTCCGGTAGAGCGAATCCTGCAGCTTTACCTGCCTCCTTCAAGGCTTCCTGGTCCAACAGCATTCCTTGCCAGACCATACCTGTGAACTTAGCCCGTCCTGGAAAACCACAGAGCTGACTCCCTGCAGGATGCAGGAGACTCATTTAGCAAATCACATTGATCTGTTCTTGGTTACAGTTCAGGCAAAGCTGACCCCAGACCTCTGGGATGTGCTGTGCTGATTGCCCCTTGCCTATCTCATAGGTCAGCTCTTATGGCTTTTGCCAGGAAAGTGGTCCTGCTAGCTGGGATGCGGGGACAAGCAGTGCCAGCTTCACCTCAGCCCCGAACCGCTTCATCCACAAGAATCTTTTGCTCATGTCGACAGCAGGGTATCGCTGGCCTCGCCGATGAGGAATTGCAGCCGGTCCCAGCTCAACATGCTGTGTCGCTTGCCAGGCGGCAGCAGAAGGACCAACGGCTCTGTTGCTGCACTGGCATTTCCTGAAGCAGCCTCTCCCAGTCTGCTGCCCTCTGAGTGCATCGGACTATAGGACCCATCCTCCCCAGCCAGCATGGCAGCCTACACACAAAGCACTTTTCACAACATGACCGCCACATCAAAAGCACTCAGATGACTCTGCCCGCCGGCCCACACACACAATCTATAGGCACAGATCCAAGCAGACATGGTACTTCCTTGTGGCACTACAAGCCTGTTTAAAAATACCACAAGCTATTTTGGTGCATGTGCGAATGGTGTCAGTCCAGGAGTCTAAAAACAGTAACAGAACTCTTTTGAGGCAGAAGAAACATTATAATCTATGCAAGGTGCGAAATGTTTATTTATTTTTGCAGTCTTTATATGCTACTTCCTAACTGAAACAATCCCCCAGATGGTTTACAAAAGAATTAAAACAAACAAAGCCACACACCCAATGGCATCATTAGGTTGGTACAAAGATAGCTCAGGGCCCAGGGAAAGGCCGGACAAAGAGATGCCGCCTCAATAAAGAGAAGCAGCTTTGACACATGCCAGTGTTGTGGCCTGACACACTCCCACAGCGTTCCAGCAAGGCCTGTCTCCCCGTCATTGCAGATGGAAATCCATAGAAGGTGGCACAGCTCACAGGGCCGTCTCTGAAGATGGGGAAATTGGGAGAGGGGCTTTCCGTGATTCGCCATGTCATCCAAACTGGGCAGCAGGGATTGAGGTTAAACGATAATAGACAGTTCACAGTTATTGTTTACAGACTGTTCAGATGAAACAGGCTCATTGTGGCAACGATTGTGTAAACCACGTGCGTGTGATTATTCTGCACCCCACGTACATTTGCAATGTGAGGGCAATACTGCTCTGCCTCACAGCGCTGCTGAAAGGATGACTGAGACAGACCAGGTGGAAGCGCTTTATACTCTCTAAAGGACCAGATGATGCTAGAGAAGATCCTTCCCCCCTCAGGATCAAAGAGGCCAGGCAGCAGAGGCAACTCATGACCACCTCTGCACACACCGCAACCCCAGAGAATCAGGGAGGGCTTGTGGTCGCTCGGCTTACTGGAAAGCAGGCCCTCGGCACGCACTCAAAGCCCTCTCCATGATTCATTCATATGTTGCAAGGGAAAGCCCCAGCAGTGGTGGGGGGGGGGGGCAAGATTTATTGAGCTAAATCTTAGTTCAAAAGAAATCCTGCGTGTGAATTAGGAAGAATTGACATCCATGTGGCTGTTTTTGCCTGTGGTTTTACTTAGCCTGACGTGGGGCAATTTCAGTGGGCAAGGGGGGAGCTGTGCTATGCGCCACTGGGACCGTCTTGGGAGCAGGCAGCGCCTGGTCAGAAAGCTTCTAGGATGCATGGACTTGTTGCATCAGGTTGTTGTGTAGCCTGCATTTCCCCAGAGCCTCTGCCTTCCATTCTTTCTCGCCTTTCCCCCCCTGCAAAGCAGGTCAGAAGATCAGCGCAACATCCCCACCACAGATAAATAATGCAAATTCCACACATTGCAGCTGAGAAAACCCAGAACTACACCACAAGCAGCTATCAGGGGAAATAAGGGGTTGATTTCAGGAAAATAAAGAGTCCTTTTTGGTGGGAGGATACTAAGGTAAAGGGAAATCTGGGAAACATGCCAAAAAATAAAATAAAGGCATGTTTAATGATGCTCTGTGGAAGAAGCTTGGAGACTGGGAATCCTCGGGTGCCAATTTACAGAGCTATCACAGCTCCCTCCAACCTGGCCTCCTCCAGACCTGTTGGCTGGGGATAATGGGAGTTGCAGTCCAACTATTTTACCACCTGAAGCAGAAGAGCAAAGTAAAGTGGCACAGTAGCTGTGGGTGGTCAAGTTGCTTCTCCCCCACCCCACCCCCGAAATCCCAGCACATGCACGAACAATTCAGCCAGCATTTGCAGTCCTTTCGTGGCAGTAGAGATCAAGGCTAGCCCTGTGGCAGATTTCGGTGCTCTGTCATAGGACAGCAAGGGCCCTGTTCGTCGTGCAGAAAGGACACCTGACAGCCCCTCTAAAAACTTCAGCAGCATTATCTTGCGCGTGTATAGATGGGGTAGGGGTATGGGAAGGCCCGCAACTCCCAGCATGCCCCACCAAGGCACGGTGGCTAGGGAATACTGGGAGTTGTAGGATTCTTCCCCTCGTCTGAACGTACACAACTCAGCACTCCCTGCCCCATTACGGGTCGCATCACGCAAGCTGCAAGCTCTCCCTCACACCCCTTCCCCGCGGAAAGCTGCGTTCCTCTCCCGACCGCGCCTAGGAGGAGCGGCCCCTGGCAGCCGCGGAGGGATGGATGGGGGCCGGGCGAGCTGCTCCCTTGCTGCTCCCTTGCTCCTCGCCTGCTAGCCCGCCTGGCCGCCCGGCTGCTAGCGGCAGCTCCCGGTGAGCGTGTGATATATATATTTTTTTCTTAATGAGTGCGGCCTCCCAGGCAGCCAATGGAGAGCCGGGGTGGGCGTGGCCACCGCCTGCACTGCTGAATGAGAAGGAGCTCCCTGGAGGTAGGAGGCTACAGTGTAGCGGAGTCAGCTGCCGGGGGAGCGGGCGCAGCGGCCCATTCAGCAGGGGCGCGCGTGGCCGGCGGCCCGGGGCGTCGAAGGCGGCGATCGGCGCGCTTCGCCTTTTCTTTTCCAAGTTGAACGTCCCGCCTCCCCTTCCCCTCTGCTTCCCCCCGCTCGGACTCCACTCTTGGTTTCAAACCCGTCAGAGCCCCAGTGACCAAGGTCAGGAGAAGAGCTGCGCTCTCTTCTCCACACGCGCGCGCATACACGCAGAAATACAGTAGCAGCAGCAGCAGCCTAGAGCTGCTGGAGTCGCCGCTGCCTTGCTGAGGAATTCCAAGGCGGACACGGGGGAAGGACGGTCGTGTGAACGGAGGAGGCTCCTGCGGAGGGAGAGCCGTCCCTGCCGAAGCTCTGCCGGCCCCTCGCTCTGCCCTTCCCTCGATGCCTCCCACTATGAGGACGGCGCTTCTGCTAACCTGGACCGTATCCCTGAGTTACTTTGCAGAGCCAGGTATGGACTGGGGTTGATTTGCTTTTTCTTTCCCCCTGTCGCTTCCTCTTTTTCTCTTTGGAATTTGCTTGTGATGGAGACGAGGTACGGGTGGGAGTCTCCCAATTTGCCGGCCCGTGGGGGACCCCCGAACCTCCTCTCCCACCCCCATAGCTGGCACATTCCAACTCTTGCAAGAAGAAAATAGTTTGAGGCTGCGTTATGGGTAGGACTTTGGCCCGGGGCTGTTGGCTGGCCGGGTGGGGTGGTCTGTTCCTGGCAGGAGTCCCCTCGGAATTTGCGCCTAAGGACACCTGGGCTCTGTTCAGAGCACCGGGAGAGAGACCGTGGCGTTCTTGCGTGTTAGGGCAGAGATGAGCGGGGTGACTAGGATTCCTGGGTCCCTTCCTTTGGGAATGAGGGAGGGGTTTGGGGACTCGGGGTTGCTGGGGCTTGTGGGGAGGGGCAGCTCATCCGAGCAGTGCCAGTGGTCCTTGGGTATGTACGTGTGAGTATGTGTGACCTTGAGGACGCCTCGCTCCGTACCCCGCCTCGCCGCTCGCCGTTTTCGTGGGGGAGGGGGAGCTGAAGCACGAAGCTTCGGATCGGTGCCGGCGAGAGCTTTTCTCCTGTGGGGAGGGTCTTCTTCGCCCTCCCCCTTCCTGACAGACCATCGGCTGCAGTTATCTCTCCGGAGGG